ATAGATAGAAAAGAGGTACCTGTCATAGATGTATCTGATTCAGATGATGGAGCTACTGCTCATTCTATATCGAACAGAGAACACGAAGGAATACCAATTTTAAATGAAGCAGTTGATACCAAGCCCAAACAAATACTTGTCTTCAATTGGTATAAAAATGATATACATGTTAAAGATATATCTAATAACAATCAAAAAATATTTGAAGTACACATGCCAGCTGTTAATAATGAACACTTAGTAAAAGCATTTTTAAAAGAGTATATAGATTTTAAGCAGAAATATTTCATTTACTTTGAAACAGAGTCTTTTAGAAAAGTATTTAGTAAAGTAGTGACAGCATTGTACAAGAAAGGTAATCAAAATTTAATTGAATGTACAGAGCGAGTAGTTAATGTAACAAATGAAGAAGAACAAAAAGAAATTATTATGAAATACCATGAGGGCAAAACAGTTCACCGAGGTATTCGGGAAACCCTCACTAAACTTAAAAGGCATTATTGGTGGTCTCATATGAAAGACACAATAGCCGCCGTCATTAATGCATGTGAACAGTGTAGGAAAATGAAATATGATAGAAAACCTATAAAACCTCAGATACAATTTACTCAAACACAAAATATGCCATTTGAGGAAGTTTTTATGGACCTTTTGTACGTAGAAAATAATTATTATCTAACCATAGTAGATGCTTTTAGTAAGTTAGCGCAAGCTTTTAATGTACCGAACAGAAGTACACCCGAAATAGTTAAGGCATTAATTAAGTATTTTAGTTTCTACGGAATACCTAGAAAAATTAATAGCGACCCTGGAACCGAATTCAATAATAACCTTGTGAAAGAATTATTAAACTTGTACAAAATTGAGATACATATAGGGACGCCGAATAACCCCAATTCGATGGCTATAGTTGAACGTTTCCATTCAACAATACTTGAAATTTATAGATTAGCAAAGTATGAAAAGAGTGATCAAGATGCAGCCTCTGTGATGACGTATGCAATTATGGCATATAATAATACTATACATAGTGCGACAGGTTTTACACCTCATGAAATAGTGTTCGGTCACACAGAATCGGGAAATGCATTTGATATAGATAGAGATAAAAATCTTTTACAGAAATTAGTTCAGAATCATAGGAAAAGGCTTAAAGTTTTATATGAATATGTTAGCGATAAGATTAAGGAAAATAAGAGTAAAGTAGTAGAAAAGAAAGGTGGTGAAACCCCTCCTGAGATAAAAGAAGGTGATAAAGTCTTCATGAAAACTACTAGGAATCGAAAAGCTAAAGAAGTGCCACGATACGAAAAAGCGGAAGTTATAGGAAAAGTAGATAGAAATATAGTACCGGTAAAACTCAGAAAAAGAAATACAAAAGTGGCAATAAAAAATATAAAACGCCCTCCGCAGGTGGTGGCAGACAGTTCTGATGCTCCTGGTCCTAGCGGAAACGGCAAGCACCACAAACCTGCAGGAAATGAATCAGAATCCTGGAATAGCGCCGATACGGATAGGTGCAGCAGCGATTCAGAATAGTCATTGGACTATATTTAAGACATTAGATTTAAAAACAATAGATAAGTATTTAGATACTAATATTAATCAATACTTTAGGTTAAAAGATATGATTTATTCGCAAACTGAATCATATAATGAACTTGTAGGATTAACCTTGCAAGTAGAATCTTTTATGGAACTTACGAAAGATAGACTAAAACAAATTATTCCTAATAAAAGGACGAAAAGAGCCCTGATAAATCCGTTAGGTTCAATTATTAAACTAATTACAGGTAATTTAGATGACGATGATGCAAAAAGATATAATTCAGAGATTAGTACGTTAAAAGACAGAGAACATTCAGTAGAAAAGAAACTGACACTTATGCAAAAAGCTTTCGATAAACTAGTAAATGTTTCGGATGATTTGAAAAATAATTTAATTCACTTAAATATTAAAACTGCACAATTGAAAACATTACAGTATAATCAAACTAACATACATAATATAGTAAGTCAAATGAATACCTTATACCAAATCTTAAATAACTTTCGTACTATTTACAATGTGATTCAAGAAGTAGAAACAGCAATAGCGTTTAGTAGAATCCACATACTTCACCAATCTATAATCAATTCAACAGAACTTTTTAATATATTGTCAGAAGTAGAAAAGTATCATAGATTAGTATATAAAGTAGATAAGAATAATCTTACGAAACTAGAAAGTACTATTGTTCTTAGGTCCTATTCTGATAACTATAAGTTAGTATTTGTGTTAGAAGTTCCTTTGTTAGATAAGGTCACATACAATTATTACAAGATCGTTCCTATACCTATATACAATCCTTATACCTTAAAAACCTTTATCATCATTCCAAAGTATCCTTACCTTATAGTGAATGGATTGAAATATAGACCCATATCGACGCCATGCGAGAAAATCGATGCCAACCAGGTCCTCTGCAAAGAAGATAACATCGTGCAATACGCAGACACGACGTGCATCGAACAAATAATGCTATTGAAAAACTACTCTGCATGCCAAAAGGTCTTCATAGAAATAGAAGATGAAAGAGTCTACAACGTAGCTGATGGAGTATGGTTACTCTTCTCAAAGTCAAGCGTCATACTTACCGAGAACTGCAACGATGAAATAATGAAGTACAATCTGAAAGGAACATTCCTGGTCAACCCCAATCCCAATTGCGAGACACAAATTGGAAGCAGAACCATCAATAAGGTAACCGAGACAAGGACACCCGAGTTAAGCTTACGACTGAGACCTGTAACGATGCCTGAACTACAGCAGGAAATCACGACAGATGGGAGCCAGATAGATCTTCGCGGCGTGGACCTTAGTGACGTCAAAGACATTTTAGAAAGTGCTAAAAATTATGATAGTGAAAGTGTCGGTAAAAGTGTTATAGTGATAACAAAGGACATAAGTGTATGGACAATAAGTATAGTAGTAATAATGACTCTGTCAGCCCTAGCATTTGTAATTGTAAAATTTAAGGTTTTTAGAAAATATTTTCTGATACGTCGAAATCATCTGGAACCAAAAGATTTGCCTCCAGCTGATTTCTCTCTTAAGGGGGGAGGAGTTAAGGGTGCCCACCCTATAGATATATGCTTTGTCAGCACTAATTCAGCTTAGCAACATAATTAGTAGGTATATAAGTCAGCATTATATAAAACACGTGTAGAATCTCTTGGAACATTTTGTGCTTACCCATTCGTTTACCTCTTTCGCAATAAGTAATATGACACCCTTATTGTACCAATAATTATTTGTAATTTCCATTAGAATTCATTCTGTTCTCAGACTTCGCTCAACAAACATTGTAACTCGATTTTATTAAATAAATTTTATTTTTATTATAAATCCGAGTTTCCGTTCCTTGACTCGTGCTCCATCATAACCATATTATATGTACTTGCGATTACTCATTATAATTTTATTAATGCAATCATGTGCATTGGATAAATAACTGCTCTTGATAGATACATTTTTAAGTATCGGTAGGTACTTGAAACTACCCGGTACCTAGATAACGACGCCGGGTCTTTCCGGTTTTAACGCATATCGTAATTTAAAAGGTGACACATAGACTTACTGCATTTTTATTTATATCTATCTATACGTATGATAGGTACATACATAGATTTACATAAATACTACAATTTTAGTAAGTCCAAATAAATTGTTCGAAACGGAGTTTTGCCTAAAAAATATTATTTTAAGTCGAATTTATGGAATAATATACCTTTCAGTACACAATTTTAGAATCCTTATTAAATTCTTTTTTTTTTTCTTTTTTAAAAAACGTTGCCCCACACTAGGATTTTCTCCTGTGTCGTGGGTGCGTTTACAAACATACAAGTTCACATACACAATGACACCCAGACCCGGAACAACAATTTGCGGACCACACAAAGTGTTGTCCCGTGCGGGAATCGAACCCGCGACACGTTGCACGGCAGCCGGTTGCCCAGCCACCGCACCAACCGTGCAGTCAAAATGCGTCAACGTTGGTGAAATTTTGCCACTACTACCGCAGTACAATTTTTTTTCAGTACAGTCATTTAAAGTAACGAATAATTTACTAATAACACTTGGTTCTATATAATAATTTATTTAGTATATCTCACGAAAGTTATAATACAAACAATTGGTTCTTCAAAGAGCGACATTCAAACTAAAGCAGT